GAGTGATTTGCAGAGCTGCAGCTTGAGTCCAGGGCTGTCTGCTTTCAAAACTCTTGAAGACCATGTTGCCCTAGGCCACGCCACATCACTCCATGCCACATAACACTCAGCTTACTCTGAGGATGGGTGGTCAGCTTGTGGCAGGAGGGCGCTTCATGTGCAGTTAAGGAGGACTCTTTGGACAGAAGGTCACAGTCATATTTGTAATTGAGAAAGTCCACATTGGAAGCAGTGGGTGCCCATGGACAGGTTGCTTCACCCTCTGAGCTGAAGTCCCTGCCTGGATGGTGGAGCAGGGATAAAAGGCCAGCTCTGTCTGACTCCAGTCTGCTCACTGAGTGACTTTGCTGCCCTGCTTCGCCTCCACATACCACCTAACCCTGTCCCAGGGTCAGGGATAGGAGAGATTTTGTTCCTGGTGGAGACTGAGGGTCTCCCAGCTCTGTCCAGGTCTGCTCTTCCGTCACTAAAGGAGCAGCTTCCAGGCAGACCACAGCAGGGTGGTGGGAAGGAAAGGGAAAGTGGGGGTGGCTCCAGACTACCGGCACTGCCTCCCACCCTCCAGCCCCCTTCACACCTAGGCCTCAAGTGTCGGTGGAATCTGAATGGGAGATCAGATGCCCTGTTCCCTCCCTCCCCCACACTATGCCACAGCTTCTGTTCGTGGTCGCCAGCCCTGCTCCATGCTCCATCCTCCATGCTCCCTCCATCCTGGAGCCTCCACCAGCCTTAGTTTTTCTAAGGCAGACTAGAGAGGCCACCATCACCACTTAGGAGCTCAGGAATGTATGTGGCCGGTGCCCTGAGTGGCCCAAACAGTTAAGCGCTCCACAGCTAACTGAAAGGTTGGCAATTCGAACCCACACAGAGGCACCTTGGAAGAAAAACCTGGCTATCTGCTTCTGAAAAGTCTCTGCCTTGAAAACTGGAGCAGTTCTACTCTGCACACATGGGGTCACCATGAGTTGGAATTGACTCATGGCGAATGGTTTTATGGATTTGGGCCCAGCAGGGCACCCTGGTGGTACAGTGGTTAAGAGCTCAGCTGCTGACCAGAAGGTCAGCAGTTCGAATCCGCCAGCTGCTCCTTGGAAACCCTATGAGGTAGCTCTACTCTAGCCCATAGGGTCACTCTGAATCAGAATTGACTGGACGGCAACAGGTTTTAGGGCACCCTGGAGCAGAAATGCACAGGGGCAGCCTGTGGAGAAGTGGAGCACTCAGTCATAGCCAGGGGAGGGGAAAGACTTGACACTGGCTCTTGCTTATGCAGAAAGCGTTTCTGTCTTCTCCGGGCTCCTGGGAGGAGCCTGATCAGGCTCCTGTCTTCACAGTCTTCACCTCCTTATCTGTCAAATGCAGATAAGAGTGCCTGCCTCTTGGGGCTGGTGGGAGGATTGAGTGAAATACTGCAGGCATCAATTTAGATAACTTGAAGTGATATTCTCGGGGTAGATGATCCTGGTGGTTGTTAATGCCATTATTAAGTGTGACCAATGTCTCCAGCCAGCTGGGGTACCCCGCCTCACCCCTCTATTTAGCAGGCCTCTTGCCATGAGTCGGAAGCAACCCAACAGCAACTGGTTAACTGGTTACAGAGCCTGTCTTCCAGGTCTGCCAGACTGCTTATGCCTCCTCCAAACTGTGCTATCCTGCCTCCAGGTCTTTTGCTCGTGCTTTTTCCCCTGCTTGAACTTCTTTTTCCATCTTGTCCTACACTCAGTGCCATCTTCTGCAGAATGCTTGTTTTGAGCCCCCAGGCTATCCCCAGGCAGGGTTGGGGCCTCCTCTGGGCCCCTTCAGCCCCCAGTGATTTCCATTATCACACTCCTCGTGACACTGGCTGTCATTGTCTCTGCCTGCTTCTATCCCTCAAGGACAGGCCCCAGTCCCCAGAATGCAGTCCCAGGCCTAGCCCAGAGTGGGAGATCAGTGGGTGCTTGTGGGAGGGAAGGAGGGAGGAAATCTGGCCCAGAGCCTGCCCTAAAGGAGCCCCCAGGCTTGCAGGAGGTCTCAGAGAAGGAATACGCCTCTCTGCGCTGCCTGTCCTTCGAGCTGTACATTATTCTCTATAGGTAGACCAAGGGGGCAGAGCTCCTTCCTTGGTAGGGTGGAGGTGGTGGTGGTGTGTCTGCAGAAGTGGATGCTGGCTCTTGGCTCTGGAATTGTCAGGGATGGACACAAGTCAGGGCAATGGACTTGAGGACTCTCTAGAGCTGAGCTGGTCGGCACTGGCTCAGGCAGAAACTTGAGTGAGAGCCCAAGCTTGGGCGTGTGACCTTGGCCAAATGACCTCCCCTCTGTGCCTCAGTTTCCTCGTCTGCAGTAAGGGTAATAATCCTGCTTCACAGTGTGCAAGGAGAGAATGCCTGTTAAATACTCAGTGCCTCTTCATTGATTAAGTAATTCACTAATTCATCCAACAGAGATGAACCGAGCACCTGCTAGGTGCCTCTCACTAGGCTAAGCCCTGGGGCAGAAAGGGAGACAGACACTATCTTGGCCTCATGGAGAGCAGGGCAGGGGCTGCTTTGGGTGCGGGTTATAAGGCCATGGAAGGGACCTTGGTCTTTATCCTAAGAGTAATGGGAAGCTCCTGAGGGATTTTAAGTCTAGGAGTAACATGATTAGATCTGGGATTTGAAAAGGCTGCTCTGGATATTATCAGAGGGATGCTTCCAACATTATCCCTTAAAAAAAAAAAAATTGCCTAGATGCTTGATGGGTTACAATAAACATCCTTTTAAATGCCTTCCTGAGCTCCCAGGAAAGCAACAGAAGTCCCCACAAGCCGAGAATGAAGGGGAAGCTGAAGTCAGGCTGGTAAACTAGGTGAAGCCACAGCAGCCTTGGGTTTTAATAGCCACTTCAGGGATAGAAAACAAGATCTTGGGTCTACACAATATGAGGGATTGGAACTTAACCTACCCCCTGCCCCAACCCAGCATAAATCCAGGACCCTCAAAGGGCTACACAATCAGCAAATTGAGGGATTGGCCAGAAAAAATATCCACCTACCAGCAAAGGGAGACAATAAGGGAGACAACAGTTCTGGTGGGGAAGAAAGGCTCCCTGGAGAAAGATGGATATTGGTTTGTCTTCACACAAGTTTAAGGTTTGAATACACACTACCTTTGTGGTCCTGGAAATTTTAAACTAAAAAAGTAACTTCAAGTGGTCTCAGGGTGGTAGTGCCTCAGGAAACCTGAACAAAGTAAATGAAATCCTCTCCATATTTGGGATTAGGCAAATATGAGCTCGCAGTCTAAAATTACAAAACGCACAAGAAACAAGCCACTGTGAGCCACAGGTAAGAAATAGCAGAATTAGTTTTCCTGAGAGCCTAAGCTGCTAGAATTATGAGACACAGAACATAAATACTTGTTTTTAAAACATGTAAAGAAATTAAAGATGGACTTGAAACCATAAGCAAGGAATCAAAATATTGCCAAAAATGATTAAGCAGATTTGAAAAAGAACCAAGTGGAATTTCTGGAAATGAAGAACAATCACTGAAATTAGAAACTCAGTAGATGGGATAAGTAGAAGACCAGACATACCTAAAGAGAAAATTAGTGAAATGAAAGGGAGATCTAAAGAAATTACTGAGTCTAGCAGAGAAAATTAAAGAGATGGCAAAGAAGAAACTTAAGAGTCATGAAATATAAAATAGAAAGGACTAAAAGAGAAGGATAGATGGGATAGCAGGGAGTAGGAGTGGAAGGGGGAATCTTCCAACAGACCTGGGTAAAGATTATAGTGGCCTGGACTGGAAAGAGCAGTGGGCATAGAAGGAGGTGTTCATAGAAAGAGATGTTCAGAAGGTAGAATTGATAGAGTTTAGTGGTGAATTGAAGAGCCCTGGTGGCGCAGTGGTTAAAATTCAGCTGCTAACTGAAAGGTCGGAGGTTCGAACCAATTAGCGGCATGGCAGGAGGAAGATGTGGCAGTCTGCTTCCATGAAGATTTAAGCCTTGGAAATCCTGTGGGGCAGTTCTACTCTGTCCTATAGGGTTGCTGTGACTCAGAATCGACTTGATGGCCGTGGGTTTGGTTTGGGTAGTGATGAATTGGATGAGAGAGTCCAGAGAGAGTTATATGTCTAGGATGACTATCAGATTTCTGACTTGAGAAACTGGGTAGAGGGGGTGTCATTTACTAAGATGGCAAAGACTGGGGAGAACAGATGTGGGCAGACGAGCAAGAGTTTGGTTTTGAACAAAATACATGTTTCAGTTTTCCTAAGGAGATCCTCTGAGGCATCACAGGGGATGAGACATTAGAGCTGGGCCTCAGGGTATGCGTAGGAGTTTACCAGGTGGAGAAGAGACTTTATCTTAACAGATTATTGGGGAAAAACATCTCCCTTTATCGAGGTCATCAAGATCCTTTCGGGAACCCTCTCTCACTCACAAGAGGCCCCTTGACAAGAGGCGTTCTCAAGACCATCAGATGGACCGGACTTTTGGGATCTCCTAGTTTCATCTCTCATTTTTCAAATGGGAAGCTGAGGCCCAGAAAGGGCAGGAATTTGCCCTCTTAGCCTTAGACTCTTCCCTTCCCCTTTCCTTCTCTCCCTCCTTTCCTTCCTTTATCTAACAGATATTTATCAAAAGCCTACTCTAAAGCAGATACTAGGTGCTGGGGATACAACAGTGAACAAAACAATAATTCCTGCCATACTTAACTGGAAGGAGATGGACAATAAGCACAAAAAGAAGTAAAAAAATATAATATGTCAGAGGGCAATTAGAACAGCAGAGAAACACAAGGACTGGAAGGGGGTCGAGTGTATTGTCCTGGGATGCTACTGGGAAGCTGGCTTCTGAGCATGAAAGGCGCTGAGCAGCTTTTACAGGTCCACTGCCCCCTGCAGCCCATTGTGACAGCATCACTGGGGTTCTAGAGCGCAGACCTGGGGGTGGGCGGAAGGCCTGGAGAAGGAGGTGGAGGAGAGGGACTGAAGTGGGATTTAGTGGGTGGGCTGCTCCCCTCAAGGGGGGCAGCACAGCCCAATGGGTCAGAAGGGCCACAAAGACTCCCTTTACCCTTGTGCAGGGTAAGATAAGTTTATTCTTGAGGCCTCTCTGCCCTCTGTCCATGGCCCCTCACCCCACCCCACACCACCAGGTCTCAGATGACACCCCCTTTTTCCTCTTCTTCCCATCCTTGGGAACACTTAGAGAGAGGTCTGAATTGTCCCTGTGTCCCAGTGAGCAGTGGGCAGCCCAAGGACTCATGACACGCATCCCAGGCTACCCATGGAGATGGAGTGGGGCTCTGTGAGGCTCTGTTCTGCCCAGGAAGGGGGCTGGGGGCTCCAGAGTCATGCCCCTGTGTCTCTCCCTTCAGGCCATCAGTGAGCAGCCTCCATGAGGCCCTGGACCAGTGCATGACTGCCTTGGACCTCTTCCTCACCAACCAGTTCTCTGAAGCACTCAGCTACCTCAAGCCCAGGTAAGCCTGAAGTGCAGCCTAAAGAGTGGAGTGGAGCGAGTGGCTGGTGTGTGTGCACTGTGTGTGTGTGTTGTGTGTGTGTTTGTGCACACGTGTGTGTGTAGGGATGGAGGGTGTTGGGTCATGGAGAACCAAAGGTTTTGTTTGAGAGGAACCCTGTGTAACTGAACTCCTAAGCCTTCTGGGTCGCCCTGACCCTTGAGAGTCCCATAAAAATGGCTCTGTCTTCCCATCTCACAGCCTGTGAGCAGCCAGGGCCCTGCCCAAGGTCACTGTGACTTCCTGGGCCTTAGGTTCTTGAGGCCTCTTTGTACTTTGATTTCTTGTGCCCAATGAATCCACTTGGGCTTTCTCCCTCATCAACTAATACAACCATTTTTCTTTGTTTCCACTCATAGCACCAAAGACTTGAGTTGTGTTCTTTACCAAGCGTTTTAGGGTAATAATGAGGGGTACTCATTTAGCCAATTTTCTACCCTTTACTACCTTATTTCTAAATAATATGCTTATACTACTCTTTCTTTTCACTTATTTCCAGTATTTTTTTTAATTGAGATATAATTCACATACCATAAAAATTCACCCTTCTTATCTCTTTTAAAGCCTCATCCATTGGTAGACAAGGATTTAGCTTTCTTACGCCCCTACACCACCTCCCTTCCGTCATCCTCCTCTTATCATTCCATCTCAATATTTAGCTGAATCAATAATCAGTGTTTACATTATTATAACTATGTAGTTAGTGTTCATTGCAGAGATAAGTAATGTATTATATAATGTTTCTTTTCTGGAGTTAATTATTATCTTTTTTTCATTTCCCTAATTTGCTATACATTTATACTTCAATCTTTATAAGCACTCCATCACATCTAACAACCATAAGTTTTTTTCCAAAATGCTCAGACATATCAGGTGAGCTCTCAGTCTTCTCATTTCCTGGGAACTGCCCTCCTGTAGGTAACCCTGGTGGTGCAGTGGTTAAGAGCTGCAGCTGCTAACCAAAAGGTCAGCAGTTCAAGTCTACCAGGTGCTCCTTGGAAACCCTAAGGGGCAGTTCTTCTCTGTCCTATAGGGTAGCTATGAGTTGGAATTGACTCGATGGCAATGGGTGTGGTGTGGTTTTTTTTCTTTTCTTTTTTTCTTTGGCCCTCCTGTAGTGTCTGTCCTTCTCCAGAGAGTGGACAGGTCTGCAGGCCCCCTCCCGGATGCTCCCTGGCCCTCCGCTTGCCTCACTCCTGTTTCCTTGATGTGGGGTCTTTCCCTCTTTCACATCCTCTCTCATTTTACTAGAGCGTGTCCTCTAGAAGTTTCCTAAGAAAGAGTGCATGAATATAATTGTTCCCCTTAAGAATTCTGAAGGCATTGCACCGTGTTCTAGCATCTAGTGTAGCTGTGAAAACTACACTAATTCTCCTTACTTTGTGATTTTTTTTTTTCTTTTTCCCCTTCTCTGCAAATGTTTAGGATCTTCTCTTTTATCCCTTCAAATCTGAAATTTCACAATGATGTGCCAGGGTGTAGGTCTTTTTGATTCAGTATTTTTTATTTGGAAACTCTTGTCTTTCAGTTCTAGAAAGTTCTCTCAGATAACCATGTTCTGTTTCCCTTTCTTGGACTTTCTTTAAGTCAGATTTTGGACTTCCTGGATCTATTTCCTTCTAAGCTGCCTGTCTCCTCCCCCACTCCCTGTTTTCCTTTTTTTTTTTTCTCCCCCTAACTTTTGGAGATTTCCTCAACTTTATCATTCAACCCTTCTATTGATTTTTCTTTATTTCTCTAATCATATGATTAATTTCACAGTGGTCTTTATTGTTCTCTAGTGTTCTTTTCCCCCCACAACATCTTATTCTTGGTTTATGGGCATATTATCCTTATATCTCCATTTGGAAGCGTGTGTCCTTAGGACAGTGCCTGCGTGTAGTAAGCTCTCTAATTAGTACTTGATGTTATTGTCATCTCAGAATATATTTTATTCTGTTTCCTGCATAGTCTCAGCTTTCACCAGGTTCCCATCTTGTGTCTAATAGTTTGGAAATCCCATTCTCTTGGGGGGCCTTCCTCAAATGTCCAATGATCGCTGGCTGGCTGGTCGTATTTAAGGACACATTCACTCAAAGGCTGGCTGGAAGGTCTCTGTGCCAAGCAGCCTTGTAACTGGTGGGATTCGCTTTTGGATGATCTGGCAGAGAGCTGTCTGTCAGCACCTAGGGTGGGTCAGTTTCTCCAGAAAAGAATCAGCCCTGGACCTGGACAGTGAAGCCCTGGCTGCCTGACTTCTGGGATTGAGGTGGGGGACCAGGGGTCTCATCATGTCTTCTGCATACCAAACCAAACTCAAACCCGTTGCCGTTGAGTTGATTCTGACTCATGGCCACCCTGTAGGACAGAGAAGAACTGCTCCATAGGGTTTCCAAGGAGCGTCTGGTGGATTCAAACTGCCAACCTTTTGGTTAGCAGCCAAGCTCTTAACGAGCTCCTCTTTTCAGCTCTGTGTCTGTAGGTTGTCCTCTGTCCTACCTGGTTTCCCCAAGTCCCCAGGACTGACTTGTTGAATTTCTCTAGACTCAGGTGACCTATTCTACGCAGTGGGGACATGAGCCCTATTTGCTCCTCAGGGAGGTAGCCAGGCTTACTGGGGGACAGTGGTTCATCTTCTAGGGGAGGAGTGGGGGGGCTTCCAGGGCTACTGATTAAGATAAAGAGAAGCTAATCAGTCTTTCAACAATCCCTGTGGTAGAAGCCCTATACCTCACGCACACCACCTGAGGGTTTCTGGGCCTGGGCAGGGCAGGACGAGCCAGGTCGGCACCAAGAGTACGGCCACTTCGGAGAGCGACCAAGCCCCATCCTGTTCCCTCCCAGTGTTTTTGGAAGGCTTCTCAGCTCCTCAACTTCCCTCCTGGTTATTTCCTGTCCCTTACTCACGGGGACCATGACCATAATCACCCCCCTGTCTTTGGAAACTGGCTATCCCCAGGCGTTCAGCTACCCACCCTGTCCCGCCCCAGCCTGAGCACAGACACTGGGCTTCCTCCTAATCCCCTGAAGCCCAGCTAAGACCAGGCTGCACCATGGTCTAACTCTAAACTGTCTAAACTGTCTCTCAGACTTGGAGCCAGTGGAAGGGAGTTGGAGTGCAGAAGAAAATACTGAAACTGATGTGATGGTTGTACTAGGCCCTCAACTATATCCACAGGAGGGTCGCTCAACCAGCTTTTCCCACTTTTATTTATTTTTTGTGATTTAGGTGAAAGTTTACAGAGCAAATTAGTTTCTCATTAAACAGTTAATACACAGATTGTTTTGTGACATTGGTTGCCAACCCTGTGATGTGTCAACACTCTCTCCTTTTCCACCCCAGGTTCCCTGTTTCCATTCGCCCAGTTTTCCTGTCCCTTCCTGCTTTCTGGTCTTTGCTTTGGGGATGGTGTCTCAGTCATCTAGTGCTGCTCTAACAGAGATACCACAAGTGGATGGCTTTACAAGGAGAAATTTATTCTCTCACAGTCCAGTAGGCTACAAGTCCAAATTCAGGGCATCAGCTCCAGGGGAATGCTTTCTCCATCAGCCCTGGAGGAAAGTCCATGTCATCAGTCTTCCTTTGGTCTGGGAGCTTCTTTGCACAGGAACTTCAGGTCCCAAGGACGCGCTCTGCTCCCAGCACTGCTTTCTTGGTGGTATGAGGTTCCCATGTGTCTCTGCTCGC